CAACTGCTCCAGGGAGCAGAGACAGTGCCTTCTGATCTGCTCAGACACCAGGCCCACGCAGGGCTCTGATCCCAGCCCGGCCAAGGAGGGAGAGCAGCAGTTGGTCCCGGCCCCGTTCCCACTCTCGCAGCTCCTGCGGGGCGTCGCCGCTCCCGCTTTGACAGGAGCTCGTGTTCTCCCCGTGCCTTCGCCTGACTTTCACAATAATATATTCAGCAGAACTGGATACGTTTCAAAGCAGCTATTACACCACAGTATGTTCCAACACAAAGATATGCAGCGTAGTGCAGCAACAACTCTTCCGTGAGCATCACGCAGATCGCGGGAACCCCCCGCGTCTCCCTGCCCGCCCCACCTGCCCTGGCCAGAGCAGCAGCACCAACAGCAGGAATCACTCAGAGAGAATAAACCTGATAAAAATTTCAGTGGGAAACCCCCACACGTTCAAATCACCTGCCCAGCCCCAAAACAAACGGGCAGTTCCCGGTGCTTTCCTCAGCCCTGGCAGAACCGCGGTGCCTCCATCGCCATCCACACCCAGCAGAGCCCCACACGTCCTGCTGCACCACTGACACCCTGCCCGGGCTGCAGGGGAGCACAGGGAGACACAGCACTAACCCCTCCCCAGATGGAATGCTGAGTAGGAAGTGGAAAATTTTTCCTCTTTCTCCCCACAACAAGCGAAATGTGACACAAATCACAGCGAGTTTGCGGGGGCAAAAGTGGTTTCTTGCTGTTTGCTTTGGCAAGAGCTGCAGTGCTGGAGTGTGGGTGGCAGCGTCACCTCAGCCCGGCTGCTGGCACGGAGCTGGTGCCTCTCCCAGGAAAAGGCACTGAGCAGACCCAAGCTCCTTGGGCAAAGCCAACTTCTCTCTGCAGCACTGTCATGCCCAGCCCAACACTCATCAGTGCCATCACAGCTCCCACACAATTATGGCCAAAGGAATCTTCCTTACAGCACTTAAACTTGCCATCTAAACCAGAAAATCTGCTGTGGCAGAGCTGCAGGAGGAGCCAGAATTAACCAGAGTGCTGGAGAGGCAGAAGCAAGTGCAGGATCAGACTGGGGAGGAAGGAAAGGAGGGATCCTTCATAATGGATCTGTGAACCACAGGCTTCAATTTAATTTAGCAACCCATCAATCAAGCTGTGGGTGTCGCAGCAAAGAGCCGGGACGGTTTCAGTAGAGGGCACTCAAGCCCCAGAAATCTGCATTTACCAGGTATATTCACTCTGGTATTTTAGGAGACGACTTCAGCACATGAATCTCAGTAATGCGAGCACCGAGCCTCATAACTCACATTGATTGTGGTTCTATTACACCTGATGCACATAAATCTAAACAAAACACATGTGGATGGAGCTAATTCCAAACGAACCAGTTTAGACACCATTAAAAAAAATAAAGAGAAGCCTCTTTTTCTTCATTAGTATTGAGAAATGCCGTAGCTGTAGAAATGCTCATGTTCCTTTCTGCCAGTTCTTACTTCTGCTGATGCTCTAAAGCATTAGTCTGATTTGAAAATGTCTTTCATCAATTAGTGTTTTCCTCTGGATATTAATAATCTCAACATTTTTTCAATTTTTGCAATTTGGTTCCCTCTCATACTCAAAAATAAGAATTCTTACATCCCAAGTCTTCAGAACATCCATAGATCTATAGCTTTATTTGCAGATGAGGGGACTGAGATTTTTATGTACATAAAAAAACCCCTTAAGATGTACAGAATTACAAATCCAACCTGTCTAATACCTGCAGCTCCAAATACCACTTGCATTCACTGTAAAAAGGCAGCACATAAACCCAACACATCCAAATATCCTCACAACAAACTCAGAATAACCAATTGACTTCTCCTCCTCACTGGTACACCATGTTCACAAGTTATAAATACAGCAGAGAGCTTGCACTAATTGATACACTCTGAAATGATGAATTACCACATTAAAGCTATTTTCACAGCACTTATGAACTGGGCAAATATCTTATATTTTTAGCATCACGGTAACAGGTTGTCCAATGCCAAAGCCCTTCCACAACCTTTGATCCTCCTTCAGCAAGGCACATCCACAGGTTCCTGAACAAAGTCCCAGCTGAGCCCAGTGTGACTCCCACCCCCGAGGCCCCCACGCTCACCCCAGCACCCCCCAGCAGGGTGGGCAGCACTCACCCCTGCAGCAGCGCTGAGCCAGAGCTCTGGCAGCCTCCCAGGCACGTCCTTCTCCTGCCCAGCCATCCCAGGCACGTCCTTCTCCTGCCCAGCCATCCTGTCTGTGCTGTAATCACCAGTAAGGACCCGGCTCTGGCTCCAGTTGGGAGCCTGGGCTGGGGCTGATGGTCATTGCTCACAGTTGTGGGCCTGGAGCTGCGTCCACGAGCAACAGGTGAAGTCAAACAGTCTTTGTGTGGGGAGAAAAAACCCAAGGCACTGTGGTGCAACACCTTAGAGCGGTTTCAAAAATGCCCTCTTTGCAATCCCGCTACAGAACAGCCTTGGGATCCCCAGGATGCTGCCAGGAGAGAGAGAGGAACAGCAGCATCACACGTGAGGGACAGGCTGGGGGACAGTGTGGGGACTGTGGAACACAAAGGAAGGGAGACAGAGCCACGATGGGCTGTTCTGCTGGATGCCCTCGGATTGCTTTGGAAGGAAAGGCCACACAAACCCGAGTGAGGGGATGTGCAGCCACAGAGGGCTCCTCTGCCACCTGCTTTGGTAACTCCTGGGACAGGACTGCTCCTGTCCTGCTCTCTCTGAGCTACATGCACGAGATTAGGGTTATCCATGACCTCCATAAACCCATCAGACATTAATCAAATAAGATAATACAAAATAAACTATTTGTGCTGGCCCTGCAGCAGGATCCAGCAGCTGAAGCACAGGTTGAAGCCTTATCAGTGCCTGGTGCCAGCAGAAAGGTAAGCAGCAGCATGTAAAGTACAGAATATTTCATCCCAGCTACAGTTCAATTTAAACACTCCACAAAATCAAACCTCTTCTCTATGTGCTGGAGTCTGCAAAGAACAGCCACAGGTGAAACAGCCCTTTCTACCTGCTCCCTACCCATAGGTTTGTGGGACTTTTTTTATCTCCAGGTGCAAAGACTCACCAGGTTGTGACATTTAATTTTATAACAAGTTCACAGAAACAGCTGTCCTTTCCCTAAGCAGTAAGTAAAGAAATTTTCTTCTATGCCCTTTTGTTAAATCTTATCCATTTTGGTGTCAGGAGGGATAAAAATACCCTTAACACAAGCCACCCTTTTCTGTCTCCATCTCTGGCACCGGCAGGAAGGTTCCTGCTGGAGGCTGGAGCTTCAGCCCTGCCCTCAATCAACACCAACAAGCATCTCTGAGATCGAGCTGGTGCCTGGTGCTGGAGGAGGCTGAGCAGCGCCTCTGGCTCGATGCTTAGGTAGGAGTAAGAAGTCCCCTCCACCGTGACACGGTGCTGAGACCCCAGGGCTCAGGGCACCTGCCCATGGCCTCAGGAGAGGCACCAGTTACACCCCGGCAGGGCCCGGGGAAGGCACGGCAGCACCTCCGGGAGGGGCTGGTCCTACCCTGGGCGTGCAGATCCCCCAGAGACTCCTCCGGCTTTTCCTTACGATGATTCTGTGCCGGTGACGGCTGTCAGACACGCCGGCCAACCCCCCACTGCACAAACAGGCACCACACACCCCTGCCATGGGCACGCAGGGATCCCCCCATCTGCAGCAGTCGCTGTGCTCGCTGCCCGCTGGCAGAGGCAACACCCGGGAACTTCTCTGGGAGTTTCAGACCAATAATGATTTGCGGCGTCCCCTCCTCCCGTCCCCACGCCCCGGCTCGCGGAGGCTGCTCCGCGATGCGTTTCTGGAGCGCAGGACGGCGATCGGCGTCTGTGCCAGCGCGGAGCACGCCGAGCCTGCTGCCGGGAGAGCACGGGCAAGGAAAATTAAAGAGATGAGCCGATACGGAGTGATAGTATGTTTGTAAGAAAATTAAAGATTTGCTCTTCAGCCGTTCCAGGCTGGAGTTAGCAGACAGCTGGCAAATGGGAGCGATTGGAAATGATGGAATAGATCAAATTATTTAAATGAGAAAAAAAGAAATTCGCCCTAGCCTAGCACGCTGACGGAGCAGCTCCCGGTCCGCGGCATGGGCAGCCCTTTGTCTCTGTCACCGAGGTCATTAAACTCCCCGCTGCGGAGCCCGGGCCGGGAGCCCCCCGGTACCGCCGCTCCAGCGGCCCCGGCCCCGCCCGGCACCGGGGCACCGGGCCCGGCCCCAGCCCCGGCCCCAGCCCCGGCTCCAGCCCCAGCCCCGGCCCCAGCCCCGGCCCCAGCCCCGGCCTCGCTGCCCCGCCTCGCCCGGCACCCGCCGGCGGGGACGCGGAGACACCCGGGGTCATAAGGGACCCCCGAGAGCTCGGGGGACACCGGGCACCCCGCGATCTGCGGGACAGGGGGCAAAGGGAACCGGGACACCCTGGGCTGCCGGGACCCCCGGAGTCCCCGCGCCACCTCCCCGCGGTCCCCGCCGAGGGTTCCCTCCGAGGGTCCCCGCAGAGGGTCCCCGCCGCCTCCCGCCCCGCGCCCGCCGCCGGCGCTGCCCTCGCCCCGGGGGAGCGGGCGGGTGCCGGTGCGTGTCGGTGCCGGGCCGTGTGTCGGGGTGTCAGTGGTGTGTCGGTGTGTCGGGGGGGTGTGTGTGGGGGGGTGTGAGCGTGTCGGTGTGTGCACGCTCCACTCCGGGGCTTTGCGCGAGCCGCGCATCAGCGGTAGGAGGGGACAGAGCCGCTCCTGGGGCGCACCGGCAGCCCCGGCTCCGCAGGTGCCGCCCGACCGGCACCGGCACCGGCACCGCGCGGCTCGGCCCGGAGCGGAACCGGCCCGGCTCGGCTCGGCCCGGCGCGGGAGGGCACGGCCGGAGCCGCGGGCTCGTTGCGGGACGGGCCGCTCTAAGATGTGCCATGAGCCGCCCGGCCCCGGAGCCGCGCGGCCGCTCCGCCTGAGCCCCGGGCAGCAGCCGCCGCCCCACAACCCGCTGCCCCTGGGGCCGTAGGGCCGCGCCGGCCCCGCGCCCAACCCAACGATGCCCCATCTCTGGCCGGCGCTCCGCCGCGTCCTCTGGGAATACTGGGCAGCGCTCCTGGTCGGCGGCTTCTGGGGACAGAGCTCGCACGGGATGCCGCATGTCATCCGGATCGGTAAGGGCCGCCGGCCGCCGCACAACTTCGGGGCGCGGGGGATGCGGTGCCCGGGGTGCGGGACGCGCCGTGCGGGGCACGGGCGGAGGGTCCCGGGGCCGGGGCGGGCGGTGCCGGCGGCGCGGCGAGGCCGGGGCTGTGTCCCGGCACGGAGCGGGGAGCGCGCCCGGGGCACGGAGAGATGCGGGTGCCGGGCACCGTGTGAGGAGGAGAGGGGGATGCGGTGCCCCCGGAGAGGGGGGTCGCTGATTCCCCGGAGAAGGGGGATGCTTTGCCCCTGGAGAGGGGGGATGCTGAGCCTCGGCGAGGAAGGCTGCGGTACCCGGTGCGAGCAGGGGTGTTGAGCCCGCTGCAATAGGGGTGCTGTGCAGAGCTGATCTGACCCGGGGCTGGATGTGCCCACAACCAGGGACAGACACAGCGCGGGGGTCGGTCCCGCGGCACCGAGCCGCGCTGCCGGGAGGATGCCGGTGGGCTGGTTACACCGCAGCTGCTGCTGAGGACCAGGCGTGTTTCAATAAATTGCTGAGGTTCTGGGGAAAATTAATTTTTAATAATGTTACATAAAGTAATTGCACAGATAACAGCCTGGGAACGAGTCTGCGATCTTTCTTTTTCTAATTAAACGAGATACTTGTTTTAAGCATGTCATGTAAAGAACGGTGCTGGTTTTCTGTTACATCCCATACACTTTGCCATCAGTACATGTTCCCAGGGATTTGCTGTGTGCCCAGTAAAATTACAAGGACGGGTTTACCTGCCTTTTCAGGGTTCAAATTCTAACCCAAAGAAGACAGTGAAAACAGAATAGATTTGTGAATATTTTAAAGTAGAAAAAATGAGTCTTGCTTATCCCAGTGCAACTGCACAGCAGCAATGTGAAAGCCAGAAAGAGAAAAATGCTGGTCCTGAGGGACAGGTGCTTTCTGAAGTGAAACACTGTCACCTCCAGCATGGTTTGGAGCCACTGCATGGCCCAGATCGTCTCATGGACAAGGGCTTGATACCTGCAGGGTGAACATCTGCTCTGCCCTCGACTTCTGGGAACGGGGTGCTCCAGGCAGATGTGGTCCCGTGCACATTACAGTGCCAGAAATACTGGTGGAAGAGGTTAATGGACCTGCCTCGGGGGCCTGGGCCCTGGTGGCTGATGAACTTTCCCTAGAGCCAAGCTGCTTGGTGTGCCCAGCCTCCGCCTGGAACAGCTGGAAATGTTTTGTGCCGTAGAAACCCACCCCCAGGAAGGCTCTGCTGCTGCTGACAGGGCACCCACCACAGGAGCAGGGAGGAGGTGTCCTGCTGTGTGACCCCCCCTTGTCTGTCCTGCTGTGTGACCCCCCCTGTCTGTCCCCAGCCCGTCCCCATGGGAGCACCGCAGTGTCGGGTGGAGTTTCCCTTCCCAGCGGGTCCCAGGGCACGGATCCCCACGGGCACCCTGAGCCGGGTGCCAGGGGGGCTGTCGCAGCTCTGGGCTGGCAGCTCCTCCTGCTTTCAGCTTGGCAGCACCAGAGATGATTCCTGGTGGCCAGAGCCGGCTGCTGCCAGGCTGATGCTCTGGGGAGAGGGGCTGTGGCAGCTGTGGCAGATGCTCACGGGGAACGGGCTGAGGCTGCCAGGGCAGACGGTGCTGAGACTCCCGGGAATACCGCAGGGCTCATGGGGGATACTCAGGCCCCGGAGTATCCCTGGGGCTCTGTGGAGATGTTTAGTCTCAAGTCTCAGTGCCTCAGTTGTCCTGAAAACGGGTTTTCTAGACGAGGCTCAAAGCAACTGCACAAAAGGACAGAGGAGCTTTCAGTGCAGAGGCTGCTGCCAGCCCTCCACAAAAACACCCGGGTCTGCTGCAGCTCTGCTCCCCTTCACCGGGCAGGAGAGCGGGCAGGGATGGAGGGAGGTGGGCAGGAAGGCAGGCAGGGATGGAGGCAGGCAAGGAGGGAGGTGGGCAGGCAGGGAGACAGGCAGGCAGGGAGGGATGGAGGCGGGCAGGGAGGCAGGCAGGGATGCAGACGGGTAGGGAGGCAGGCAGAGATGGAGGCAGGCGGGCAGGGATGGAGGCAGGTGGGCAGGGATGGAGGCAGGCGGGCAGGGAGACAGGCAGGGCTGCCTGGTGCAGGAGTGCCACTGTGCCACTGCCAGCACCACTGTGCCTTCCGCAGGAACAGCCTGACTTCACCTGCTGAGAAATCCCCCAACAGTCAGCCCCTCATCCAGACACCTTCTTGATCAGGAAAATAAGAAACGTAAAAGATCAGAAAAAGGCTTTAATCGGGGCTGCAGGGACATCAGTGTTTACCTTCTCTCTCAGCTAAAACTGGCATCATTTTGACCTCTTTTTCAGCCCACTGGAAAACCGCAGCTTCTTCCCCTGCATTAATTTGTGCAAAGCTACTCTGGCTTTCAAGTAATTATTTTAATTATTAGGTTATGCCAAGAAGTGGAGAACACTTAAGTAACTATTGTTTTAGCACTGAAAATCAAACCAGGGAAAAAGCAGGTAACTTCTCAAAGCTCTCTTTTTTCCCTGTGAAGCTGACTGTTAAAATAAATACAGGGAGAGATATCTAAGAAAGGGAAGGAAAAGCCAAAAGCGCTCTTTCTCTCCTGAGTAAAATATAAATATTTAATATACACATCTAAACATAATCTATACATGTACCCCTACAAAGAAAATCTGTGCCTCGGTGCTGGATGGCTTCTTTTTAAGCAGGAGTTTGTATCTGAAGCTTATTCAACAGCTGCTCGGTTATTACGCAATCTGTTAAATATTTGAAAACGCCGTATCAGAAAACACCACCCAGAGCTGCTCCGAGCGCTCGATTCAGCTCCGAGTTCCTCTGGAACAGAGAGGGATCACTGTGGGGGTGTGGGAGGGAGCCCTCCCTGCGGCTGAGCTCCGGGAGCTCCCCTGGCCCTGAAGGGCTGCAGGGACAGCCCAGGATGTGCAACATCCTCCCCTCTATTTATGGCAGCGAGTGCGAGGTGATGCCGTAGTGAGCCCATTCATCTCACCTCTCACTCGGATTAAAAGGCAGTAGTAACACCCCTGAACACACAGACAGAGCCTGGTGCCATTTTGTGGAGCTGATGGCACCGTCCCTGACAAAGCAGGGCGGGATGGCTGGAATGGGAGGCGCAGGTGGAGCCTGGAGCACTGGTGGCTCCAGCAGACCCATCCCAGCCACCTGCTTGGCTGAAGCATCATCAGAAATTACTGAGGGTGATTATTTTGATGGGTGATGTGTTAGTGAGACACGGGGAGCAGATCAGAGCCGGCGGACTGGGATCAGTCCATTGTGATGAGCAAAGCCCCGGCAGGACAGGGGCAGTGCTGGATTTGGGACTCCAGGGTGGGGCTGTGCTCAGGGGCTGCTGAGGAGGCGGCTCCAGAGCTGCACTGCCCTTGGCCACCCTGCTCCTGCTGACGTGGCACCTGCCACCCCCTCTGTGGGCAGGGGGACAGGCAGGGTCCCAGCCCACCCACCCCTGGGTCACCCCGGCCGTGGGCTGTCCTTGCCCTTCTGCAGGAGGATGTGCTGGGCCAGGGACTGGGGCCATTTTCCTTTCTACATTTTAAAAGGAATCACCTTCACCTCCGTGTCCGTGCTTCTGTGCCGGGTTTTTTACTATTTCTGCTGATATTCGTGGCAATAATCCCACCTCAGGCATGTCTGTCAGTCCCACACTCGCATGGCTGAAGTCGCTGTGAGCAGGATCAGTCTCCAGCAAAGCTTTTAAACAAACAGCCCTGCGTGAGGAATTTATCGGATTTTATTTCTTGTAGTGTCTTTCTAAGCTCTGTTTGCATAGAGAAGGGGTCAGGGCATTGATTGTTTGTATGATTTGCAAGTAACACAGAAAATACAATCAAATTGGAGTCTGTGTGGGAAAAATATCATTGATTATTTTATATGAATACATAGAAAACAAATTCTGTGGATAATTATCCTGCTCTGTGTGATTGGTTTTTCTGAGGCTTATTACGCCTGTCAGGAATTTTATTTTGAAACCACCTTCCCACACTCTGTGAATGAAGTTGTATTTTTAAAAATAAAGGCAAAACCAGGCTTTTCCAGGCTGGAAAGGCAGTGCCCGAGGGCTGGGAGCTGCATGGCCATGGGGGGGTGTGGATGCTGAAGTGGGAATCCTTGGAAAGGCAGCTTGAGGGCTTCTGCTCAGCTTGTACCTGGTGATCAGAGTGAGGGGAGGGGGCAGGATGGCCCGGGGTGTTTTGAAATCACTCTTTTGCCTTTGTAGCTTCTCCTTCACTCCCGTGGGCATTTCTGTGGCCACACATCCACTGCTTAAGCATTTAATGGTTGATAAAGTTATTTCAGGTCATGAGATACTTTGTGTGTCAGATAACACATTCTGGTAATTTCAGCAGGATAGGAGGGCGCAGTGTAAATTGTTTGGTGGTAAATTAATTCTGAATACATTTGAATAACAATGTTAACTCTTTATCGCAGAATAGTCTAATTATTTGATCTTGGCATCCTCTTGAGAACTTCGTACAGGAAATTAAGATCAAACCACAAACCAGAAAAGAATAGACTCTCATTCATCACAGGGCAGGAGAGACGCCAAACCAGACAGACCTGCTCAGTGCTGGGCTGCTGCCTCGGGGGGGGCACAACCCCCGGGGACTGCCCAGCACAGGGACAGCCCTTGGGCTGGGGGCAGTGGGGTGTGCACAGCTGGAGGGGGGAAGGAGCCTTGTGTGGGCTTCAGGTGCATGGAGAGAGGTGGATGCACCTGCCTGACACCAGGACACAGAGACACACACACACAGACACACACCAGGACACAATGACACACTCCAGGACACACTGACACACACCAGGACACACTGACACACTCCAGGACATGCTGACACACTCAGGGACACACTGACACACTCAGGGACACACTGACACACTCTGGGACACACTGACACGCACGTGCCTTTGGTGTGGGAGCTGCCTCTTGTGCTGCAGTGCCACATCTGCTTTTATCACCAGCAC